TGATATCCCTTTTCTGTTACCGAGACAGCCAATAAACATCCTAATCTCACATGCTGCACTGAAGAGCAGATTTACAGCTGTGGGTGAGCATAAAACAAATGATGGGAGGATTCAAAGGCAAACTCCTGCAGCAGGCAAGCATACGTGGTAGCAAAACTTGATTCTTTTTATTTTTTTTGGTGTGTGTTTTGAAATTGGCTGGCGTGATTAATACGGCCTGATGTATGCCAAGCTGTTCAGCATAAACTCAGACATATTTCCCCTTCCCCCATCTCCCTTTCTCATCCTTCATTTGTTTCTGAATGGCTTCTTACATAAAGCAGTGACTGCAAAGAATCCACAGGAAAAAACGCCCTCCGTAAATGTTTTTTATTTTATGTGTTTCCCTGCATGTTCTCCTGATTGCAAACTTGGGCTTCACGTAGAATAAAGATCTTGGGTGCAGGAACAGTGACAGCGTCCACAGTCCACCACAGTCCGGTAGTGCCATGGCCTCCCTGGGTCCCTTGCGGGGCCGGTGGGGAGGACGCGGGGAGCTGGTCCATGGACGTGCCAGGCAGGGGTTTCTGCTGGCTCTGGTGTCCGTAGCTGGTCCGTCAGTCTGCTTCTGAGTGAAAAAAGCTGTGTCTGAACCTTGAACCAAGGATGGAGTAAACCCCTTTTCTCCCCCACTTAAGGGCAAGCGGCGCTTCTCAGTGAGAGCTCAGTCAGCTCCTTAAATGAAACCCAGTGCCATACAAATGAAACCCAGCGGCAGACGTTAGGAGGGGTTTTCTCCAGACCCTCAAAACTTACAGAGTTTTGTGAGCATGATTGAATGGGACGTAGTCAAGCACGATTGAATGGGACATAAAATGCCTCTTACTCTGATATCCCACTGATCTAAATGAGAGACAAAACTGTAAGGTGTCTGTTTCTTTTTGCTATTGATTCACGTTTTTTTTAAATAAATCCTGCAAGCAGGTGCCAGCCTGTGTTTAACTGGAGAGAGCAGGATTTAGTGGGGAAAAGGTAATTGCATAACCTGCACTAATTAGTTTACAGGTGTCAGCAAGTAAGTAGTGTTCTGTGCTTTACCATCCCAGTGTTTCTCATCTAGCAACGAGGGGATTGCGAGGGATCAACTGCAGCCCGCTTCAGTTTTCTCCAGTCAGAAGTGTTTTCAGATGTAGAAGGGCGGTATTGCCCTTTTCTAACCTGGCACAGTGCCTCTGTCGGGCAGCTCTGCTTCGGGTCCGTGCGCTGAGCTGCCCGTGGCCGGTGAGCTCCTGACACACGGGGAGGAAAAAAGTTTCCCAGACAGCCTTTTGGGCATGATGAAAAACATCATTACGGGCAAATTTCAATTTAAAAGGAGGTGCTGGACTTTGACCCTAAGGGGAACTAATCACTGACACCAATGGGAAAGTATTGTGGTGGTCTCTGCATTGTATTTCATTTAAATGTAAAGGTTTTCTAATGTATGGAGCGTTCCCTTGGAAATGCACCTCACTGGGCTGAGACTTTCTTGTGGGCAGACCAGATGTGGTGTGAGCTGAACGTTAGAAATAAAACCTGAGATTTTCCTCCTAGAAGATACGAGGAGCTGCGAAGTTTTTTCCAGCCTACCTGAGAAATGGATTTGCTTTGGTGTCACTTCGGGCTGTAGAAAAGCTTGGCAAAAATCTCAGAAGAACAAGTTGATTGCTAGAGCTTCTTGTCTCCCGTGTGCTGCTTTGCCTCCAGCTCCCCTGAGAACCTTCTCGAATATCACATTTATCTCATTAATTGCTAGTCCCCAAAGAGACCAGCCCACAGTCTGAGTTGAGGACTACAGCTGTGCTACAATCCAGTTCTGGCTCTGTGTGTCCCCTTTTGGATAATTAGTGAGACGTGAATCCTGAATTTAGCAGTGTTTTGGTCTGGCATCTCAATTTTGAAGGTCCTGTCTGGCAAGCAGCCAAGCGCTTTCTTGCCTGAGGGCAGTAACTGTGGGCAGAGCGGGGAGACAGAATCATAGACTGGTTTGGGGTGGAAGGGACCTTGAAGATCACCCAGTGCCACCCCCTGCCCTGGGCAGGGACACCCCCCACCAGCCCAGGTTGCTCCAAGCCCCGTCCAACCTGGCCTTGAACACCTCCAGGGATGGGGCAGCCACAGCTTCTCGGGGCAACCTGCCCCAGGGGCTCACCAGCCTGAAAGATGTCTCGGGTGTGGTTTGATGGCCCGTGCATCGCTTGGGACTCGTCCCCAAGCCCCTGGTCATGGTTCCTGCTGGGACCCAGGATCCCTGCTGGCTCTTCTGTGCCGTTCCTCTGGGTTGCACCTGAAACGGTGAAGGCAGCAGAAATGTGACATCGTGTTTCTTTCCACCTTATGCTGTTAAAAGAAAATGGGGCCCTGTAGGGTTGAAAAGGTGGTGTGCTTTGGGGTACGGGAGGGTGGAGATGGTGGATGGAGCTGCGTTGGACAGCCTGGCAGCCTCTCCTGCCTGCTGCTGCTGGGGGCCAGCGTGGTCCCAGCCTGCTGCCCAACAGTAAATCCTCCCTAAACTGGTGTCTCAGATGTTTCTAGGAGTAAAACAGTCAAACCTCTGTACCTTCGCCAGTAAATGGTCTGAACAGTAAGGCTGAACCACGAAGTCCAGATCAGTCCCTTTTGTGTTTAAAATACATTAAATAAATAAAACAAAACAAAACCCCACCACCTCCCATCTTACGTACTCATTGTTCCTGCTGTTTCTAACAAGTTCTCCACTGGTCCTTCTAATTATGTTTGAGCTCAAGCATTTATTTTTTTTGTTCTTTTTCCCCTCCCCGGCCCCAGGAGAGCCCAGAAGCACCAGGAGTTTTCCTGCACGCGCGGGTGAATATTTGTTAACACATCAGCGTGTCAATAATGAACCGCTGCGGTGGAGCCTGGAGGGCTGAAGGCCGATAGCCCGTGGCTGCGGGCAGAGAGCATCGCTCACCCCAGCTGCTTTCTGCGCCAGCAACTGAAGAGAACCCGTGTGAGGGCTGACAAACTTGAGGTTAATTTGGTTTTAAATTGCTGCCTTCCCTGCTCGTGTGGTTGCAACCAAAGCCAGCAGAGAGCATGGTGGTTATGCAAAGCCTTTGCCTCCCCCCCCGCCGGCCTTTGGAGAATTGCAGCTTTGCGCGTATGAACAATGCGGGTATTTGGCATGTCCACTCTTTCTCCAGACTTATCCCTTCTCCCCATATCTTTGTTCTCCTGTCCTCGGCAATCTGGGAAGGAGAACTGCGATAAGAGTGGCGCAGGGTGAATGCGAATGAGCAGGAGATGAACCTCAAAGGGCTCGAGTTGGATTTTCCTCCAAACCTCTTTGATCACAAACTGAGCTCTTTATCCCCCCGAAGCGTGCCCCGGGGGAGGGCTGCCCAGAGGTATGCGATGATGAAAAGGAAATGCTCTTGCTCCTGTGACCACCTTCTCTTCAGCTTAGCAGGTATCGACATATACCAAAAGCAGGTTTTTAATCTCAGAGCTGGTTTAGGTTGACTTTTGTGGCAGGTTTTCAGGGTCAATTGTCACTTTACCCCATCACGACTGTTCATTCATTTTAAAAAGAGATCTTCCCTTTGGAAGATCCTTTTCAGCATTCGGTTCATTCCCTTTTGTCACAAGCTTGGCTTGTGTTGGGGCAGGCAAGAGTTAAATCAAGAAGTACAACCTTGTTTTTATCCACCAAACTTGTTAAACTAAAGAAGATTCATAAAGAACTGTGTTTCTGTTAAAGTCTTTGTCTCCCAAGTCTCATTTTGGAGTCTGAAGAGCGCCTGCTGTTGCCTAAGGAACACCCGGTACAATTAAATACAGAGTCATTGTTGGGGAGTCAATGAGCTTGAAGCGATGCTGGGATGTCGTTCGTGCGTTCGGTCTTTCTTTGCTTATCGGGGCAGGATTTACTTGGTAAACGCTCATTGTAATTCTGCGAACTGCTAATGTTGCATGTCTAATCTGTCATGAATACGGAGAGGGAGCGGGGAGCTCGTTTTCTTCTTCCCTCGCACGTAGTTATTGTCGGGGAAGCTGGAGAGTTTGATTAAATTGTTTGAAGTAGTTAAAGATTGCCTGTTTGCTTTCTGCGAGTATTTTTATTAAGGTTAGGTTTCTGGTTAGGATAAAGCATGGCATTAAAACAACATCTGCGTCTCTTTGGGAACGAAGTGTGCTCCTTGGAGAGACCCCTTCCACTGCCCCAGTTCTGCTCCACGTGTGTCTTTCCTCTTGAGGTCAACGTGACGTGAACCTGTTGCTTGCCAGGGACGGAGCTGGCTGGTGGGTGACCTGGGAGCTCCTTCCACCTCTGTCCTGCTCTGGTGCACAGAAATGTGTCTAAGCAGACATCCAGCCACCAGAGCAGCTTATGTTAAGCAATTCCTCCTGAAACTCAGATTGATGATGGCGAGTTTTTGTTTTTAACCTATCCTGGCTGCATAGTCCAAAGGCACCGCATGGCAGTGCTCTGCTGGGGTACTTCAGAGACAGGAGTGTATTCAGAAGTATCTGCAAAGAGAGCTAAAACATTTATTAATACTCTTTGACCAAGGGTCATTTCGTATTCATTTCGTTCCAAAGCAAATGGGAAGAAAATTCACAAGTGCCATTTAAGAACAAAGCTCATTTCTGAGCACCAATTAATCTTAAAACAGAATAGGAATGTCGAGTTTCACTCTCAATGGTAAAGCCATTTTCTCTCTTTTGGAGGCTGCTGCTTGTTCCGTGCCCACAGACATGCGAGCGCAGCCCTGGGTGAGTGAACTCTGGATTCATGCCCTGCCCGTGGTGCTCTCTCCGTCTTGGATACTCTCCGTCATTGCTGTCTTCCTCGATGGCACTGCTGGAATGAGGCACCGGCAGCTGTAATCCGGGGCTGCGCAAAGCCGGGGGATGGCAGCCGTCGGCGGGCGCTGTGTGTTGCGCGCGTGCCTGACTCGAAGCGCTGCGCCGTGTGCTCTGCTGACCCTGTCGCGCTCTCTCTGCCCTTTGTGCTACAGGTGCAAAGAGCTGAAATACGGCAAGGACCTACCCCAGATCTCCATCATCTTCATCTTCGTGAACGAAGCGCTCTCCGTGATCCTGCGATCGGTGCACAGCGCTGTTAATCATACCCCAGCTCACCTCCTGAAGGAGATCATCCTCGTGGACGACAACAGCGATGAAGGTTAGCAGCACTGGGGTCTTGGATCTCCAGAATGTCGGGAGGGGGGTTAATTTCCTAAAATCTCATTGAGCAGTCACACTTCTTTGGGTGCGGTGACGCTGCTGGGAAGCACACGGCGTGAGGTGGCAAGTTTGCTGGCTGGCACGACAGTTTTCCCCAGTTTCTGTAGCAAAAGAGAAACAGGATCAAACCAAAGTTAAAATCTAAGGTAATTGTTGATTGACAGCGTAGCTGGAAGCTAGAAGGCTAAAGGGAACCGGATAGCAATCTTAGCTTTCTCTTCACGGTAGCACCCAGAAGTTCTGGTTTGAGGTGTATCCCTGTCTGTAGTAAAAACCCCTTTGATTGTGACAGAGGTGCACCTCTCAGTATTTACGGCGGGGGCGAGAGCCTGGAGCCTGGGGAGCTATTCCAGCTTTGGCCCCTTGCAATGGTCTTAAACGAGATATTTTCTCTATGTATGTCTCAGCTTCCCTATCTGTAAAATAAAGTCCCAGGCTTTACAGAATGGTTAGGACCCTTTGGAAACCCTCCTTACTCTCATATTCTGTTTTTGATGTGAGAAGGATAAGTAAGGAGGAAGAAGAGGAGACAAACACGCCCGACCTACTCAAGTCAGAGTGTGGAGGGGGATGGAAGGTTTTCCATGTTACACGCGGGTGTCGTTTGGTTCAACCTGCTCTGTCACTGTTGCAGTACGTTCCCTTCTGGCTTCTGATAACACAGAGCTGCAGGAGGTGGTTTCATGTGGAAGCATTTTCAGACTCGTATTCTTCCAAGATTTCTTTTTTTCCAATATACAGTTGGATAATGTCATTAGGGTCATTAACATCTTCATGAAGAACAGCAAACGGTTAGATTACTTTGATTACTGCCTTCTTTATTTGTAGTGCATGCTTTTAGTATTATTTTAAAAAATAAGAGACATGTGCTGCGGTTGCTGTGATCAGAAGGGAAGATCAGGGAGGGCGCAGGATGCGGAGAGCTCATTTCCAGAGGGAGCCTGAGAGGTTGCTCGTCTGTCTGCAGTGAGATGAGATAGTATACAGCAAGCTATTCAAGCCTATAAAAATAGGCACTCAAATACCACAGTAATGAGCACCATAGAAAGCTGATGAATTATAATTACCAGTAAAAGAAACAGGAGGGCAGCTCCTCAGCTGATGGAAATCACAGCAGCTCTAGTGCAAAAGCTGGGATGGTGTGCACCAGTGAAACCATGGGATTTCAGAGCTGGAACTACTTGGCTAGCGAAGGGAGAGTGCAGGTGATCTGTCGCTGCAGTATTTAGCATTGCCCAGTACTCAGAGGGTTCGAAATACCAAAATGAGATGCTGCCTCTCCAAATTTTACCATATCAATGGGGTGAAGAACACTCTTTAAAAGGGAACTCATTGGTAATAATTATTGAGCTTCTCTAGCTACTGCCACGCACAAAGAAATACGTTTCTAAAAGGCCTCCACCCATCATTCAGTATGCGGCACAGAGGCTAATATTGAGTCAGGAACTCTGGAGACACTACGGAAAGGCACAGGGCAACGGAATGAATCCTTTCAAAAAGCAGAGCGCACACACACACACGCTCCTCCCCCCTAAGCTGCGACTGCAGCTGGCAGCGAGGATGCAGAATGCCATCTCCTTATCCGGCACCGGGATTGCAAAGCACTGTCTTGCCTGGCAGTTTGCTGCGAGGGCTGCGGCGGTGCTGGGGGGGTCTGGTGGTGGGGATGGGTGGTGGCAGGGTGTGACAGGGCAGCAAGATGGGTGGCGAGCGTGTAGCGTGCTCAAGCACTTCCAGCTCTGGGTTTTCCTCCTCGTGCCTGTTTTTGCAGGCTGACCAAGCTGCCCGGGTTGTGTTGGAGCGCTTTATGGCACCCACCTAACCAGGGAGGTGACCCAAATTGAGGGACAAATTCCTACATCATGTGCAAGAGGTGGGAAAATCCCAACCTCCTTGCATGCCTGGGCACCGTGCGCTCTACATCCCACCAAGAGGATCCGTGGATTGCGTGGGGAAACAGGGTTGTGCTGAGGGTTGTACAACACCTGCACACCAAGGTGGCTCCGTCCTCAGAAACCTTGGATGGCGGTGTATAGGGAGAGGGGTGTAGGCAACGAGGCGATGCTATTAGCTGGTGGGGTTAGTTAGTAACGTCAGTACTATGCTGTCGAGTCTTTGTAGGCATCGTGACAAATGAGATTTTTAAGGAGGGATTTGAAGGAAGATAATGAGGTAACTCGGCAGATGTTTATGGAGAGCTCCTCCCAAGCGTGTAATAATCTTGTTTTCTCATGTAAAAGAAATGATACAAACCAGAATGTATCTCTGGGACCTGTGCGTTCACTCTGTGCATCGTCAAGGAGCTTCAATGACAGTGAAGAATTATTAATGGCAATAACATCGTCATATAGTTCCCAGTAATAGTAGGAAATAATTGTGAGCAGCAATAGCAACATCATATAGTCGATGCTTTGGATATTACAAAGTTGTCGTAATATATAGATTTGGCTTCTACAGGAAAATAATTACAGGTAAATAGTTTCTCATGACTCTAAGATTTAGATGTGAATCCTGGGAGATGAAGCACTGGTGTCGTGCAGAGGATGGCGTTGCGTGAGTGCAACTTTGGTGGCTGTGATTGAAGAAGAGAAGGAATTACTTCAGCCTCTGCGAGCAGCTGGGTGTGTTTGAGGGACAATTTCCATGGTGCATGGCTTGTCACTGCAGCCCAGGCAAAGCCTTTGGGGGCTCAGTTTTATACCCCTGACAGACGGTTGACCTCCAGAGAGTAGTGGCTCAAAACCAGCAGCTGTGTTGTATCCTGGTGGGTTGCCAGAAGCAGCTTCTGGGAAAGCCATTGAAGGCTCCTGAGAGCCCATGGCCGGGGGCTGCACGCTGGGGTGTTTGCGTCTCTGTTTTGTTAGGGAGCGCTTGACACAGATGCGAAGAGGAAATACAGCTTGTCTGGGTAATTGAAGAACAAAGCATGTTCCCAAACCAAATAGTAAAAGACCCCCCAGGGATTTCCAAGTCAACTTCAAGTTTTAAAATGAGTCCCGGGGACAGAGGTAGGAACCGCATCCCCTGCGCACCGCGGCTGGTGCTGCCCGCCGGGCAGACCGCTGACTGGTTACACAGACACGATCAAAACCTTTCCGCGTTTTGTAGTTTTCAGACTGGAACAAACTGCTTCTGAAGACTCATTAGACGCTTCTTGCACTTAGCTTTGTTGTGACGTGGTCTGTACAACAACACTGCACAACACAGAGGTGAGCAATGAGAGATGAAAAGTTAATGAACACGGTCAGTTGGATTCTTTATATCTGAGCTGTAAATAGATAAAAGATAACAATGTATTGTAATGTGGGGGAAAAAAGATTCCTTCTTGAAGGGGAAAGCTTGGGGAGTTGTAGTTTGAACCCCTTTCTCCCTTGAGCTGCACGTTATACTTCGTAAAGACTTTTTTGGAGGCTGCTTTTGTTTGGGCTTGTTGCGGGGGTGTAATTACAAAGCGAGTGCACAGGTTGTGTTTCTGAGTGATAACATGTTTCCTGGGTTGTTGGAGGGATGCAGCAATGTGCCCCTGAGATCTTACGTTATCTTGCAGCTGCACACTTTGTCCGAGTCTGTTGCTTAATCATCACCTGCTTTTTTTTCTTTGCTGTCTGTCTTTTAGTGGTTTTAATCTGGGATAATATCTCTTTGAAAGGCAAACCTCTAGGTATAAAAGAAAACCTTTGGGTGAAAGACTTGCTTAAAGGAGCTGGCTACACTCGGGGAGACATGCTACGGGATGTAATTTACCTCGGTGTAACATATTAGCTGCGCCTTGATATATTGCTTTCTTGTTTTGCAGCTCGTTTCAACAGCAGCGACAGCGGTCGGCGCGCGCTCTCCCGGGAGCTGCCTGGCTGGCGTTCGGTGTGTTTGTGTTTAGAGGAAGGTTTTAACAGGATTGCAAGCAGCTGAGTCATACCTCAGCTCTCCCTAAGGTGCTGGTCCAGCCCAAGTGCCTAATTATTCCGATTGCTCTAACTAAAGATGGGTTGCTTAATTGCAGCTGACCTGGTGCTGTCCCACTGGCGGTGAGGTGGGAGGCTGTCAGGCCCTGCGGAGGCGTGGAGGAGAGCACCAAACCTGCTTTGTTTGTCTCTGTTTGGCTTTTGCTGAACCCACTGAACCAGAGGCTCGCAGCCCAGTGCACCGAGTGGGACCCGCTTTGCCGGTAACCCCGTATGAGAACGGATTCGTGTACCTGCTCCCCTTTTCACAGTTTCCTCTTCAATATTTGCAGGTGAAAAGCTTCAGAGCCTCACCTGGCTCTGCTCTCACTGCAAAAATTCTCAGATTCATTTATTGCGTGTTGAAGGAGTTTCTTTTGTGAGTTCAGGCTGCAGAAATCCAAGCCACGATGGTTTGGAGGTTTCAGGCAGGTGAGAGCGTGGGACAAGGGAGTGCTGGTGTGTCCCACGGCACCGGAGCGCTCCCATCTCCGACTTCTGTGTCCTTCAGCCTTCAGGGCTTCTGATAACAGCCTTGGGCTCTGTAGACTTTTCCCACCCAGCTCAGCCCGGCAAACACAACTATGTTTTCTTTAGGGGTGTAGAGGAGGTGCGGTCTGCTCTCTGGGACCACCTGGGCATTACTGTATGACAAATTTTCTGCCGTTGGTGGTTCCTTGAGCTCCTCTGTTGCCATTGGTCTTTGCTTCTTTCTTTGTGTGGCAATAGGCAGTTCCCACCTTTAGTTCTGGGGACTTCAACAGGATTTGGGGAGACTTGGGCAGGATTTGGGGAGATTCGGGCAGGATTTATGGTGTGGAGCACTGAGCAGCGGATGTTCCTGCAGTTGCTTCTGCGCTAATGTCTGTGCCACGGTTACCTTCAGTGGCATCAGGTGGTTCGATTTCTCTGGCAGGCCTGTTTCCCAGAAAGCTCATGTAGGTGACAAAATACTTTGCAATAGGTAACATAAGTCATTGCAGCTGGCAGATGGGTTTTTTAATAGAGCAACAGGTCTATTGGATTCTAGTTCCTTGGACTTGCCCTTCAGTGAAGATCAATACGGACAGATGGAGAGCAAGAGGCAGGATTGAAATTGAACCCGCCGGCTTTTTCAGTAGAATTTCTCGCTGCAAATCTTCCCTGGAAGCAGCTCGTGCAATGGCCAAGACCAAACATTCACAGATGCTCCTGTGTACAAATACTGATTGCATCCTTAATAAACAGGACTTAGAAATGATGTGGGCATGCTCTGAAGGATGGTCCAGTGTAGGCTTCTCCAAAGGATGCATGTGCGGCAGGTGAAGAGTGTGCCGTAGGATGCAGAAGAGAAAGGAGTCTCTGGATTCCATTGCAGTGCTTAGTTTGAATCAAATTACTGGTTGTGTAGCTCATGCAGATCCACCCACTCAGATACCTCCTGAGTGCGTGGCCTAAATACGGGGTCCTTTGATTAGGAAGGATGAAGGTGAGCTGGGGAACCGCTGCTCTGCTCCCGTCTTGGCTCCTGACTATCTTTGTCATTTCTTTGCATCCAGAGTTTCAGGTTATGAACACTGGGATGATTAGCATGCTAAAATTATCGTCGGCTGAGTATCTAGTGGATATTCTCATTTTCAGCAATGACCTGAAGGGGCGAAAGCACTGCTATGACCCCACGCAAGACAGAGGTGAGGAGAATGGCAGCAAGCTTAGATCGAAGCTGTGAGATGCTTTCTCCCCTGCTGTGGTTTGCGTGAAGCCCTGAAAATAGCAGATCCAAAGGCCAGGTTGCCAGTTTCTGTGAAAGCTGCCTCCCTTACGCGGGGGTATCTGCTATTGTCCATTAGTGCAAGTCATTTAATTCCTGGTGTACTACTTCAGACCTCCTGACCTTCCTATTGCAGCTCTGGGATGCACTGCAAAGCTACAACAGTTGGGGATGAAACATCTCTTAAGTTAATATGACAACCGAAAAGCTTTGCTGCTACTGAGCTTAATGCAACAGCTCTCCGCACCCCCAGCCCGGAGCCACGCGTTCTGACAACGCGCGTCAGAGCCGCCGTGAGTTGTTTTCCTGTTACACTAATGGCACTCGGTGAAGCGACTGCTGAGTGAAGGAAAACACAGGGTAAAATTAGGAACGACTCTGAACGACCTGGATTAAGATGAGAATCGCGAGTGAGTTATGATTTCCAGCCCGCTGGAGTTCACGTGGAGGGAGCCGAGCATGTCTGGTCCCACCAGATCAGCGTCCGTGGGACAGGGGGAGCTGTGCCAGTGCGGCTGTGCCGGTGCTGGGCTTTCCACTGGTGCTTTTCAACACACCACATCAGTCCTGCTCATTGGCGAGGGGAGACCTCGGCCAAGGCTCGCTTAAAACTGGAACGGGAGTTTTGCGGAGCATTCCTGAACGCTGGCATTTCACTTCAGTTACCTAAGAGTGCATTTTCCACATCTGCACTTCTGGATGAGCTGAGAAATGAAATACAAAGCCCACCCCATCCCTGTGCCTGCTGGCTGGACGCCCAGTTGAGTGCCAACTATAATGTCTCTCCTAGTACCAAAAAAGTGCTTGGCAGCTGCTGTGCACTGAGCACTCCTCCCGCAGAGCTGCAAACCAGCTCAGAAGGGCGAGAGACTGGCGGAGGCCAGCACAGATGTGCAGCCGTCCTCTCCGTTAGGGCTTCTGCAGGCACGTAAGAAAAGGGAATTCTCACCCAAAAGGCGTGTGCTGTGGGCTGAGCCAGGCTGGAAGGGAAGGCAGGGAGCAAAGCCGGAGGTCTGGGCAAGGTTGTACAGGGAGCCCTTAGTGGAGGGAAGGTCTGGAACCACGTTTCCCACGTCTGCTTAATGGTTTTAACTCTCGAGTGTTTCTCCGCTTGGGTAGCAGCCCGTCAGGGATGCTTGCAGCATGCATTGTGGGCAGGAGAGGGGCACTCTGGCCTCTGCTAATGAACGGGCTGGTGGGCTAGAATGATGCTAATCATAAGCAGCTTCTCCACCGGCTCTCCATGGTCACCTCACACCGTTTCGCAGGTGCACGGCTGTGCTGTACTGGCCTTCCTGCTCTCAGCAGGTCAGTTCTTCACCTATTGGCATCCAGCATCCCTTCAGAAAGGAGGAGGACGTGGCTGTGGCTCCCCGGGGAGTTTTTGACGAGCTGCCTGTTACACAGCGTGGTGGGCGCAGGAATCTCTCAGGCTTCACCCCTCGCTGCCTTTGAGACATGACATGACAATTCTTTCCTGTTTCACTACAGCTGTATTCTCTTTTGAGCTGCTCAAACAATTCCCATGAAGATTTTTCTTGGTTTCCTTCGGCTGAGATTAAAACTCCAATTTGAAAGTTGTTTTAATTGTTCAGCCTAGCCTTTAATGCAGTGGTCTGCAGCATTAATGTCTCACCTTCTGACAAAAACACGTGAGGTGCCAGTGCTGTGCTTGTGGGCTTTCATCTGTTAAAAAAAATATCTATGTCTCTGTCTCCTTAAAACCATTCGGGAGAGTTGTTGTCTCCATAAAATATTGGTTTTTCTCTGAGTGGCTCAGCATGAAATGGAAGTTGCTGAGTTATGTATGTATGTGCTGCAGATGCTTTGAATTGAGGAAGGGGCTCATTTGCTTTATTCTTTTTATTCCCACTTCAGCATAAAAAAGAAATGAGACTTTTGGGAAATTGATATGTGAGGGGAACCATCCCAGAAAGGCAGTCTGAAGAAAGCACGTTTTATGTGCGTGGAAGAAGGCGTGGAAGGGAAGGGAACAGATAATCCCTCTTCCTTTGATTTCTCAGGCTAAGACCCACAGATGGGACTTGCTATTTACTCTTGCTCTTCACTGCCGTGTTTCCTTCGTGTAGGAGCCCACATGTGCTCATATGTCGTAAGTGCTTTACCATGTGGATTATATTAATTGTGATTTTTTCTTTTTTCTTCTTCTTTCCTGGAGAGAGTATGTGTGCAGGGGTAGTAGACTATAATTTGGGTTCATGGACCACATCTTAATTTTCTGCTGTCCTGGAGCAGGGATAAAAGGCATAAAAGACATTCTGAGGAGCTGCTTTCGTGGCGTTAACAGTCTGTGTTGGTGCACAGCAGTATTGCGTAGCTTTTACAGAGTACTTCTCATCAGAAGATCTTTGTGCATTTAAGCGATGCACCAAGAAGTGAAAGGAGCAAGGTTTCTGGCAGAGCACGAGCACTTTTCCAAATTTTTGAAAAAAACATACCAGTACTTACCCCTTTTTGTAACCTTCCGTATGCTTCCACGTTCAAAGTCCTGTGTGTCTTTTATACTCAATGCTTGTGACTATCAAAAACTGTAATGCTGGCAATGACTGCAGGCTGACAGACCCAGTATGTTCTCAGCTGTAGCACGTCTACGGGCTTAGACAACATAATTAGATGATGTGCAGTTTCCAATGAACAGAAGATACGTGGTATGAGCATCTTCTGAATGAAGCCAAAAATCTCTTTCATCCTCTCATAAAAGCAGGGGGAATTTCAACTTTTCTAGTGGCAAAGCTTGGAAAACGTATAGCAAATGCCAGGACTGTAGTAGTGAAGCTGAATGAAAAGGATAGTGAAGCTCATACACAGTTTGATGTAGTTTAAGTTACTTCAGATGGGTTTTGCAGCATTTCTAGCAATGCATTCAGGTACAGTCTCCGTCAGAAGTTCAGAGCCACTGTTGTTTGGTAATCACAGGTGACTTCTTTCTGGTCGTGTCTCTCAGTGGGGTGACACGCAGGGATTGCAAAGCCTCTGACCTAGCTGACCTCTTGCTGCCTGTTGCCTCTGAAGATGGCATGCAGGCTCCTTAGTTGTCCAACATCAATGTTTTTGGCAACCTTGAAGGACTTTTATAAAGGTTGTGGTCAGTACACCATCAGGTGGTCTTTTGCAAGTCAGCATTGATCGACACTAAGTGATTTTATTCCTCTCAGAGGTGTTCCGGAGATATGTGGCTCCTGTAAATTACAATTGTATCCATCAACGAAGTGGGTTAATTTTAGGTAGAAAATGTTGCATCTTTTCAATGGGTTCTCTCCACTTCTTTTCTAGAGGAACTGAAGGCGCCGCTGGAAGAATACGTCAATAAACGATACCCAGGGCTCGTGAAGGTGGTGCGCAACCAGAAGAGGGAGGGCCTTATCCGAGCTCGTATTGAAGGCTGGAAAGCTGCCACTGGCCAGATCACCGGGTTCTTTGATGCCCATGTGGAGTTCACTGCCGGCTGGTAGGTGCTCAGCCAGGTCTCGGTTAGAGTGTGTGTGTGTGTGTGTGTGTGTGTGTGTGTGTGTACGATGCGTTAAACAAGGGACAGTCTGTCGTTTTGTGAGGATGTGTTTGCAAACGAGACAACTGGTTTATTAATCCTGTCTTCCTCCTGTACTGAACGGCCTCTGATGAGATATGACGGGAGGATACAAGGGAAATCTGTCCTTGCCCTTCTTTTCTGCAATTGTTTTTGGTCCCCTCACCTCCCGTTTATATCTTTCAGGTTGATTTCCCATTCCCTTAGCCCTAAGTAATTTCTCTAAGTTTTAAAAAGCCCAGGCAGCAAGGGATTGAAAGAGAAAGTGTTTCCTGCTTCCTTGCCCTTTGCAGCTGGATCCCACTGGGGAAGGCTTAGATGGGTTAGATTGATGTGGTTCTTCTGCAGCTAGGAATAAGTGCACAAGTACAGAAGCAGTGAAAGGTGTTTCATAAGGATTTTTTTTCAGAGATTCAAAACATTTGGGTTGTAGTGGCTTAAGCTTGAGTCTAGATCATGAGAGGAGCTTGAGAGGGATTCTTTTCTTTTTCTTTTTTTCCTCTCTAACCAAGTGTAACAAGTAAATGGTCCATGTTTAGAAAAGTGGAGGTAGAAGACCCTAACTTGCATCTAATTTGAACAGAGTAACATCCACAAGAAAAATGCCTTAGCAGCTGTGAACAGAGAATTCTGCACAGTTACTGAATTCTTTGTAATGACATTGCAGCTGAAGGGTGTATTTAGGAGCCATTTCATACGTTGATATCTGTATCCCCAACTAAACATTCCTCTCTTCGGGTCATTATGTCCTCACACCTGATTTTATTGAAATACAGAGGAAGCTCCCATTTCTCAGCTCTTGAAGCGTCTTTTCTAGGGATAGAGAGTGACCTTTTCTGCTGCGTGGGCTTGACTCACTCTGGTGTTATGTACCTGCTGCTGTCGCTGGAGGCACCAAGAGTGCAAGTTACTCCTTGTGTTGGTAGCGAGCCAGCAATGATAGAATGGTTTTAGCTGGAAGGGACCTTGAAGATCGTCTAGTTCCAACCCCCCTGCCCTGGGCAGGGACACCTCCCACCAGCCCAGGTTGCTCCAAGCCCCGTCCAACCTGGCCTTGAACACCTCCAGGGATGGGGCAGCCTCAGCTTCTTGGGGGCAACCTGCCCCAGGGGCTCACCACCCTCACAGGGAAGAATTTCTTCCTAATATCTCATCTAAATCTCCCCTCTGTCAATTTGAAGCCATTCCCCCTCATCCTATCACTACATGCCCCTGGAAAACGTCCCTCCCCAGCTCTCCTGGAGCCTCTTTAGGGACTGGAAGGCTGCAATAAGGTCTCCCCGGAGCCTTCCCTTCTCCAGGCTGAGCAACCCCAACTCTCTCCACCTGTCCTCCCAGCAGAGGGGCTCCAGCCCTCAGATCATCTTCATGGCCTCCTCTGGACACGCTCCAACAGGTCCAACAGATCAGTGGCTCTTGGGCTGCAGAGGTGAGGCTGTGTGCACCCCCTGCTCTGGGCATGTTTGAATGTCCCAGAGCTGAATTTCGTAACTATAGAGTCCATATATAGTTCCTCAAACCGTATTCCAAGTTAAAAAAGACCCTTCAGATAGTCCCACTTTCAAGAATTTTCCCTGTTCTGCCCAGGGATGTGGTTTTTTGGATTTGGGGGAAGTCTGGACCAGTTAAAGTGTGGAGTAAGCAGAACATATCCTTCAGTGCCTTGCTTTACAGAAGGGAAGTTTTTGAGCTGGGCTTCCCGGACGGTGGATCGTGTTTTCGTGCAGGATATCCACCCATGCCTGACAGCACGGGAATCTGCGTGCAGTTGCCCTGCAGATGCACATCAGGGCTTTACACAGGATGACTGTCCAGGCGGAACAGCAGGAGATGAGAGCAGCCATGTTGCGGCAAACCAAGGGCCTGTCTGTGCCACTAATGATAGCTGGAAGCCTCGGAAGGCGCATGTGGGTCAGGCTGGCACATACAATATCCTTCAGAGTACACTACTGAAGTCCACTGACTTGCAGATACGAAGCAGATGCGGCTTTTATGACCTGGATGAAGGGATAGAGTGTACCATCAGCAAATTTGCTGATGACACAAAACTGGGAGATGCGGCTGACACGCCAGAAGGCTGTGTCACCATGCAGCGTGACCTGGACAGGCTGGAGAGTTGGGCAGAGAGAAACCTGATGAAATTCCAGAAGGGCAAATGTAGGGTACTGCACCTGGGGAGGAATAACCCCACACATCAGTACAGGTTGGGGGCTGACCTCCTGGAGAGCAGCTCTGTGGAAAGGGCCCTGGGAGTCCTGGTGGACGAGAGGATGTCCATGAGGCAGCAATGTGCCCTGGTGGCCAAGAAGGCCAATGGCATCCTGGGGTACATCAAGAAGAGTGTGGCCAGCGGGTCGAGGGAGGTCATCCTCCCCCTCTGCTCTGCCCTGGGGAGGCCACATCTGGAGCACTGTGTCCAGTTCGGGGCTCCCCGGGTCAAGAAGGACAGGGAACTG